AAAACTCCACTCACATAAGGGCACGTCTTGGCTGATCTCTGCAGGGCTGTTCAAGATAGAGTCATGAATGACAAGAAATAGCACGTAAACCAAAACGCCAAGACCAAGAATTGATGTATAGGCCAAGCGTTGGAGATCTTTGGCCAAAGACAAAGGCAGCAGAACAAATACTGTAATGACGGTCTCATTCAAAGCACGGTTCCTTGCTAAAATGTGATCAGCCCCAAGCAATCCCTCGAAGGACTTCGTAGTAAAGTCCCCAATCAGAATAATGTAGCAAATCAAAGTAATCCAGCCATTCAGGAAAATAGTAACGTCGATGATCCATGCTGATTTTGGGCCCAGAACCATATTCCAGAGGTCGCGAAAGGACTTCACACTGCAAGAGATACAGCAGTAGCCTATCATCCAGTAGGAGCTGGCACTGAGAACGCCAATGGTGCCCAAAACTATCAGACCAGGAATTGGGCTTGCATGCCGCAATCCCACCGGCAGACTGAAGATCCCAGCACCGATCCTGAGGGAGCAAAGAGCCTGTGCTATCAATAACAAGCAGTGACCAAAGAAAGTCCGTCAAACCACCTGCAGGAACGGCTTTCCGTTTGTGTTCATCGTATTTGAATTTGTCGTTTATTGCTTTTTAAGCGTCTCAAAATGGCAATGCCAATGAGCTTCCCACATTGCTCCACTATCGTTTTTTCTAAATCTGCTCTACTCATGTACTGACAATATCTGTCAATCATACATCTAGACTAGGGATATTGTGGTTTGGGCGAAAAAAGGGCAGAGAGGGAAATAAGATGGGTCAGATAGCTACCCCCGAGGAGAAACCGTGCAAAAGCACAACTCTCCGGATGACTGAGATTCCGAGAAGAGTGTCAAAGCGTGTTCAGCTTCAAGATACTTACAGTACTTGCAAAGACATCATACTATGAAGACCTCAACACGTATGTATGTATGTATGTATGTATGTGTGTATGTATGTATGTATGTATGTATGTATGTATGTATGCATGTCTGTCTGTCTGTCTGTATGTATGCATGCATGTATGTATGTACTTATCTATCTGTCTGTCAGTCTGCCTGCCTGCCTGTCTGTCTCTCTGTCTCTCTGTCTCTCTGTCTCTCTATCTCTCTACCACTCTATCTCTCTATCTGTCTATCTGTCTATCTGTCTATCTGTCTATCTGTCTGTCTATCTATCTACCTATCTATCTATTTATCTATCCATCTATCTGTCTATCTATCTATCTGTCTATCTATCTATCTAATCTAATCTAGTCTGATCTAACCCAATCTAATCCAACTATATCTAATCTAATCTAACCAAACCTAACCTAATCTAATCTAATCTATTTCATCTGTCTATCTAATCTATCTAATCTAATCTAATCTAACCTAACCTAACCTAATCTATCTATCTATCTGTCTATCTATCTATCTGTTTGTTTTCCCATCATATGTAGTTATAATTATTGAATCCTATATAATGTACCTGGTGTGGGCCTTTCAAATTCATGGCTAATCTTCCTTTGTATTGCCCGCCCCCTCTGCTAGATCTATCTGCTGGAAAACTGGGTACCAATGGTGTTTTTTATGGGGGTAGAATGGGAATCGTGCGTGTTTCCTGGACTCCTTTCAGCCCGGCGGTGAAAAATCAATACTGACTATAAGAAATCAATGGCCTGCAGGAATGTGTTTGAGATACATAAGCAATGCAGTGCTTCCAAGCTGTGAGGCGTATCAACGAATGAACAAACAGTGGCCCATAGCGTGTTGAAACGCCCGCTACATACAAATATCTAACATTATCGCGAAACGGAGCCAGCAAAGAATACAAATTCAGATGCCGCCAATACAAATTCAGACGCCGCCAGGTCATGCCACAAACAATGTGTGTAGTGAAAAACTTTGCGGGTTTTGAGTTACATCTGCATCGAAAAAAACTTTTCCATACAGCTAATCCGCCACTAGTGGAAGAAAGTTTGTCATCCACCCCGGCCACTCAGCCACTCAGCCACTCCAACAGAGTGGCTTCCGCAGCCACTCAGCCACGCTGAGTGGCTAAGTGGCTGGGGTGAAAATTTCCGCCATTGCGCGCTCAATCGCACATCCAACCGTCACGTCATGAGAATCAGACTGTTCAGCCAAAACGCCAGAGATGTCAGGGCTCAGGCCTCTTCGCCTTTGCCTTCTCCCTTCTTTGGCTTCTTGGGATTCCGAGGTGGCTTCTTTGGACCTGGGGTCTCTTCGTCCTCTTTCTTGCCTTTCTTCGCAGGCAGGGCTTCTTGGCGGCGGATGGATATTATGTCCACCTCCTTGACAAAGCTCAAGTGGCTGCAGCCCAATCGGCAGGACAGAGTGGTGAGAATGTTTCAAGCGGGGATTCGAAGATGGAGGCCTGATGATCCCCGGAGGGGGATCCTCCTGAAGGGAACGCACAAAGGTCAGATCCAACATCTCCATGGCTCCCACACGGTCGTCTTGGAGCATCTGGTCTGCTATCTGAGCCAGAAGCCACATCGTCAAGCCTGTGTCCCTGGCAGCAACTTGATCTGCAAAGGCGGCCGCTGTCAGCCTCTTTGCTGGCTTCTTGGGGGCTCCTTTGACAACTGCAGGGGAAGGCTTTTGAAATCCTCCTCCTCCTCGGGAGCTGTATAAAATCCAACTCCGTCCTCCGCAGCTTGAGAAATCCACTCCTGGGCAGCTCCTTGAAGGGCTATTGGCGAGGGATGCGCGTTGGGAGTCCCAAGCAAGAAACATAGGAGACCATCCTGGTCGGTGACTGGGTTGTAGAGCTGAAGGAAGTCCACAATTCCAAGTCCAAATCCATCAGGACTAGGTTCTCCGTACCCAGAGGGCTCTCGGTGGCATCTTCCTCCTCCAGGACGAAAGGCAACGTGACCACACTGCTGCATCCCAAAAGATCCTCCGGCGCTGCAGACTGGGCTTTGGCCAGTACATCCCCTGCAAAGAAGTCCATAGGGATGCACATCATGAGCCCGGATCTCCTTCTCATCAGTGGCAGCACTAATGCTGATTGGGCATCTGAAGCAAGGGCAAAACCTGGAGGGGCTGAAAGGGCATGCTGGAACAACATGGTCTTCAGGGTGCTGAGTCTCTTATGGCCGCCGCACTTGACATTTTCCGGTGGCAAGTCAAAGCCTTGCGCCAAGCAGTAGACTGTCGCCTCTGCCAAGGATGGGAAGCTGTGCGACAAGCTGTCTTCTGTGAATCGAGGGAGCAGCTTGTAATACTCGGCCGAGCTGGAACAGCGCACTGGTCGAAGGATGCCAGGGCCACGCACAATGATACACACCACAGGAGGATGATTGACCTTGGGCGTGGGCCGTGGCTTACTGGCCTTGCCGTCAGTGGTGGCTTTGGCCCAGGGGCCCGCAGTCCAAGCCCTCTGCGCCCTCTCTCGGACAGACCCGTCGGAACCTGATAGCTTGCTGCAAATGCTAAGGCAATGGACAGGTACCGGAGTGAGAGTAGCAGCCACCTCTTGGTAAGAAGCTTAAGACACAAAAGACTCAGTACAAGCAAAAGAAGGTACCTCAGAAGGGGCAGCTTCTCCAGACAAGATCCCAAGGGCGCGAGGCCAAGGACTCACCTCCTCCAACTGGCTGGGCCCTATCCACCTCGTCTTGAAAATGGTCCACCGCCGACCACAAAGAATCAGCCAGAGATCGCAGGGAGGAGATGGCCTCACGAAGAGTGCAGATGAGTTGCCCAGCCCCTCTCATACAAGTAGTTAAGCCTATTCTCGGCTGGACGGGGAAGACCAACAGGTTGTGGATGAGAGGATCCAAAAGCCGAGTTGAAGTGGAAGAACAGAAAGAGAAGCACAAGAATGACCCCAAATCCGAGGCCTGAGAAGAAGACTGAGGCAAGAAGTGGGACAGATGAAGTGCAATGGACACAAGACACCGAACCACCCACTGCTGGATCCTGCCACGAGCAACCTGATTCCCTCGGACAGCCACGGATGCATTTGCTTGAGCAACCACGCAGAAATTTCAATGTTACAAATCAATCTATCTAATCCATCTAATCTATATAATCTATCTAATCTATCTAATCTATCTATTCTATCTATTCTATCTATTCTATCTATTCTATTCTATGCTATTCTATCCTATCCTATCCTATCTATCTATCTGCGTATCTCTGTCTGCCTGTCTGTCTGTCTGTATGAATGTATGTATGTATGTACGTAGGTAGGTAGGTAGATAGGTAGGTAGGTAGGTAGGTATGTACATACGTATGTCTGTCTGCCTGTCTGTCGGTATGCATGCATGCATGGTTGTATGCATGGATGGATGTATGTATGGATGGATGAATGAATGCATGTATGCATTGGTGGCATGTATGCATGTATGCCTGTATGCCACTGTATGCATGTATGCCTGTATGCATGGATGCATGGATGCATGGATGCATGGATGCATGGATGCATGGATGCATGGATGCATGGATGCATGGATGCATGCATGCATGCATGCCTGCCTGCCTGCCTGCCTGTCTGTCTGTCTGTCTGTCTGTATCTATCTATCTATGTATCTACGTATCTACGTATCTACGTATCTACGTATCTACGTATCTACGTATCTATGTATCTATGTATCTATGTATCTATGTATCTATGTATCTATGTATCTATGTATCAATGTATCGATGTATCAATGTATCGATGTATCTATGTATCTATGTATCTATGTATCTATGTATCCATGTATCCATGTATCCATGTATCTATGTATCTATGTATCTATGTATGTATCTATGTATCTATGTATCTATGTATCTATGTATCTATGTATCTATGTATCTATGTATCTGTGTATCTGTGTATCTGTGTATCTGTGTATCTGTGTATCTATGTATCTATGTATCTATGTATCTGTGTATCTGTGTATCTGTGTATCTGTGTATCTGTGTATCTATGTATCTATGTATCTATGTATCTATGTATCTATGTATCTATGTACCTATGTATCTATGTATCTATGTATCTATGTATCTATGTATCTATGTATCTATGTATCTATGTACCTATGTATCTATGTATCTATGTATCTATGTATCTATGTATCTATGTATCTATGTATCTATGTATCTATGTATCTATGTATCTATGTATCTATGTATCTATGTATCTATGTATGTATGTATGTATGTATGTATGCATGCATGTATGTATGTATGTATGTAGCAGCTTTTAGTAGTACAAAGAAGACATTGCAGGTGGAGCGGTTGTGCAATTTGCATACCGGCAAATCAAGAGCCGTACCCAAATATTCAACAGAAAGAAGCTTTTACACCTGATGCACGTTCTCAAGCTAATTCAGTAGAAAACTAGTGTCAGAAAAGAAGGGAATGTGCACACGAGTTGTCTCAACAGGACCACTTCAACCTTTGATGCCAACAAAAAAATGCCAAATTTTATACACAAGGCCACAAGGATCCACAAGGTGACAAAAATTCTTATCTGCATATGTAGATGGTCTCGTGCAGAGGCCAGGGGCGAACTTTTCCAATGAGAAAAAAATCAGCAACTCGCTCTCACACTTCGCTCACACTTGAGGTCTTTGAATGCAGAACCTCCCACTGCAGTGCAGAACCGACTTCCAGTGTTTGCGTACATTCTTTCAAGACAAGAAAGTTGCAGAAAGCGAAGAACCTGCAGAAAGAAAGCACCCGAGAGTCCAACAACCTGCAGAAAGCTGGAAAAAAAGAAACATTGTATAAACTAACTGTATATTACAATTTGATCTTTGGCATTTTACATGTACTTGTCCAAGCTTTTCCTGCATGGTTTTGTCCATTTGGCAGCAAGTTTTTAGCAAGTGTTGTACACATTTTTTGGGGCAGCAAACACGTTTGCTACCTGACATCGTTACGCTAAAGTTGGCAAGTGTTCTAAACCAAAGTGTGCATATCAATGGCCTTGTATGACAGAATGTTCAACACCACAAGCCTTCTACGTCAACATCCTATTGGATAGGAATTTTCACACCAAAAGCATTTTGCACCAAATATATATATATATATACATCTGTTACAGGGCAAGCGCTTTGTACGAGAGCAGGTATGTTACTGAAGGATTTGTAGCAGAATTGTTCAATTTGTTTGCTTGTACGAAACCCTGACAACTACTGTACATCCTGTAGCTGATGAGTATCCCTCACGAAGGAACAAGAACATGTTTCTTAAGCGGCTCTGCTGTTTGAAGCGCTAAGGCAATCTTTCCAAATGCTCACATCCGCGAACCTATCAAATATGCCTGAATTCTGTCATAGCCTTAAATAAAAAGGGTTGGTTGCTTTGTACATGCCATTCAGTTCCCAGACCCATTTGAAAACAAAAAGGTTGCTTGGCAAAGTCGAAGAAACATGTTCTTCAGAAGTGTTGGCACCTTGATGGCACATTGCTGACACAGTCAAATCTACATGGCCATGCAGTGGCATGCTAAGGTCCTGACGATCAAAGCAACTGACGAGCCGGCGCCAGCTCTTTCAGCAATCCGCGCATCGGCGCTCCTGATATCGCTGAGGATACGAGAAACTCACAAGAGACCAATGACATCCAATGGAGCAATGGGAGCAATGGAGCAATGGAGCATTGAATGGAAAAACTGAAGAAAATTCGGCCAAGTTCAATCAACTGCACCAACCCCATCTCCGGCTGCTGCGGCCATCTCTGTCCTGGATGTCTCTGTGCTGTAGGAGGACATGGCCCGAGGTGAAAGCTGGTGAAATCTTGCAGCTTGAGCTGTCAAATGCATCGATCACAATAAAACCATGGCCACAATGTTCAAACATGACAAGACACCGATAATTTGTCAATGTATATCTTTAATCATTCTCTATTATCTCATACTATTCTGGAGTTGCAGATTGTTTCAATCTTGTGAGCTTCGTTTCTTCACACTGAGGTGCAGAGTCGTTCAAAGCAACAAGCCTTGCATCCTTCTACCTGCATCATCGGTGCCCAGCCCTCCAGAAGATGTTCCTCGTTCCGTCAGCTTCACATCCAAACAATCCACCAATTCACAATGGGTTTATGCGACAAGAAATGTTCAACACATGTCTGGCATATTCTGGCACTGCAATGAGATTTGGGCCAATGTTGATTTCCTTCTCCGTGGCTTGCATTCCATCTAGGAAGACCAGAACCTTTTTCAGAAACATTTTGTGTCTGCAGTTTGCACCAGGTTCTGGCACCAGGATCCAAATCAAAATTAAAATCATTACGCAGTACACACTGGGATCTCGCACTGTTCTGTCCTGGCAATCTGAAGTGATGGTCACCGTGTGCCATCGGTCTGAGCGAAGATACCTGCACAAAAGCTGTAAAAAAGCCACTCCTGACCTGCCCAGCTGCATTTTTTGTGCGGCTTCTGAGTGACAATGCGGGCTCTTGGCAGCTGCTCTGCATTTGGCTGTGTTGAACATGGACACCTCTTCATTGACGAAATATGACGAAATTATCCTGGTCCTAGTCGATTTACATTGAGGCGCACCTGTTGCTCGTGACGGACCTCTCAGCCAAACCTGCTCTTAGGAAGCACCTTGGAGAGCTGGAGCCAGGAAATGTTCAAGATTGTTCAAGAGAGAAAGTAAAACTCGCAAATCTGGAAAACGATGGAAAAAAAGCATAGTGATGCGAAGTAATGGACTCACACAGCAATTTGCAAGTGCCAAACTGTGGCCCTTTGACTGCTTTCTGGCCATGCGCATCCTCAGATTCACTTTGAAGCTGGCAGTTCGAGCAGTCTCCATCTATTCTCTTGCAATTTGAGAGGAAGGGTGCCGCAAACCGTCCTCAACCAACTCCATATCAGTTTTGCGGATTGTCACCTCGACGAAGGCAGTTGCGCGATAGAATTGCCGATTTCCCGTCTGAAGCTAAAACGGTAAATTCGCGAGTTTTCCTCATGCAAGAGCTACCCTTGATGCTATTGCAACACAAGATGTCCAAAAGCTGGATAAAAATCATCTGATTGGGCAGCTTAGTCCTGGTGTGAAGATGCTGGTTTTTTGATTTGAACTGCACCCCTGGCCCCCACTTCCCTTTACATTTGATGTTTCCAAAATATTCCCAAAGGCAAAAGCATTCGACTCAGAACAATTGACAAATTGACCGTCACCCAGGGAGATGCCCTGCAGAGCTGTGACGCTGGCCCAACCACGGGGATCAAACTTGTCGTCCACATCTGCTGTTGCCTCTACAATGCTACAATCAAGAAGACGAACTTCGGGACTTCTTAGACTTCTTGGGCATACAGACTTGTGAAATCTTGTCGCCGATGTCAAATTCAGTGTCTTCGCTAAGCTTCCCAAAAAAGGTATCGCTTTTGGGGCGGCCCAAACGCTACCCATGGTTTTGTAAAAAAGAGGACAGGAAAAGGAAAGGAAAGGAAAGGAAGAGGAAAGGAAGACGAAGGGAAAAGGAACAGACCGGGAAAGGAAGAGGAAAGGAAAGGGAAAGGAAAAGGAAAGAAATAGGAAGGAAAAAAAGAAAGAAAGAGGAAAGAAAAAAGGAAATAAAAAGTAAAGAAAGAGGAACAAAAAGAGGGAAGAGAGAGAAAGAAGACGAGTAAGAGGAAAGGAAAGGAGGAAAGGGTCTATTTGTGGTCTGAGGCTGCTGCTTGAAAACATGGGTATTGCTGAGGTATCGCTAGGAGTATCGCTAATTTCGCCTCTTGCATGTACGCAACTTTGTGTAAAGCAACTTCAGATGTGGACATTATGATGCAAAATTATAGTTGTCTCTTTTGGGGGGGCTATCGCAGTGTTTGGTACACTTTCCACACACAAGAGAACTCTACTTTACATCAGTAGTATACCTCTTATGAATAAACAGCACCTGGAAAAAAAAACTTTGAGTCCAACATGGCAGGTGCACCGAACCCGGAATCTAAAACCTAAAGAAATGTATTCGCCAGTCAACAAAATAATCCAACTAGGTCAACTAGATGGAGAAGAAGTCCAAAATAAACTCTACCAGACCATACCAGACCCAGATGCGCCCAGAGATGGCTGCGCAGACGTGTCCAGGGCCCGAGCAGACCCAGAGTTACTTGGTGGCCACACCTAAACCTAGACTCCCAGACCCATCAAACGACTACCACCATGGAACACAGAACGGACTGTCAGACACAGAACCAACCTCCCCATAGGATCAAGACTCCAAACGTCCATGCTCACAGCTTCTTTCCTGCAGATCGTTGCATTTTGTCACTGGCCTCTCCCATTCTCCGCAAACGAAGCTTGTGCGTTCCGCTGTTGTGATACTCACGCTCCTCAACAGACTTTGGAAGTGCAAACAAAGCAAACTTGCGCTGCGTTGGACGGTTCTTCAACTGAAATGAAACAAGGTACAGAACATCAGAGTCTTGTTGGTGTGCGAGTTTGTGTGTGTGTGCGAGTTTGTGGCTTTGTCTGTGTGCGACTTCAGTGGATGGGCCAACCTTGCCCAGTTCCAGCTCTTCATTGTCGGGATCGGTGATTGAAATGCCAGAGATTCCTGGTACGACTTGATCCGACTTGATCAATCAGGTCTTATATGTCTTGTCTCAAAATAAAAGGAAATAAAATCATAGCAGCCTGGCCTTTGTAGTCATCAAACCATCCTAGCACCTGGCAGTTTCTGCAATGCTTCGTTGGGAAAGTCCCCATCTACACCTCCCAGGACAAATTCTTTCAATACTGGCTTCCCCTGATAATCTTCTTTGAACCCACTTTCCTACCGTGCCAAACCAGGAAAAATATTCAAGCTTTACTTGTTGTCCTTTGAAATCTTCAAGAATGTTGAGAATGTCGGCCGTGGAACTGGACCTACAGTCTACAGTATCTATCATTATCAGCCGCCATTTTCAGCTGCATAGCCAGAATCCGTTCTTTTTCTGAAGTGTTTTAGTTTCAGCTTCGCTTTGACTTCCTTCAGGATTCTCTTCACAACTCTAAGACGCTCTAGACACATCAAAGCAGATGAGGTAAGATTAAGATCGGTAAGCTATTGTTGCAAGTCTGTTGCAAGTCTGTTTCTGTTGTATCTCTAAGTGTCTCTATGTGTCTCTTCAATCTTGTCTGATGTATCTGATGTCGACATTCGCCGAACCTTGAAATCCTTGGACCAGGTCTTCTCCGAATCACTGCCATCGATAATCTCAAACGTGTGCCAGCCTCAACAAAAGTGCGGGCCAAGTGGCCAAGTGGCCCAAAGCTAAAAGGTCAAAAACTTAGAAAACTTATGCCTCGCTTCATTTCGTGAAGGAAAACTCTAGGATACTGTAAGTAAGATTCACTTAATTCAATAGTCACATAGACCATCCGCGATATTCAAGAATGACCATGAAAATATGATATAATCTGTTGCTTTCTGAAAATTGCTGAGTATTGAGCCAGTCTTGCGGATGGTGATCCGGACAACATGCATTGTGCGATCTCGAGGTGTCCAACCTGCAGAAACATTGAACTAGGTTTTAGGTTTTGAAGTTTGGAGTCTTTACGCTTTACGCTCTTTGGCACTGTGATAGGATATGTATCGGATATGTAGGTAGGACCAGGTAGGAACCTCATTCTCACAGAAAGCAGATCTTCCGATGTGCACCGGTGGCCGAGCACCGCAGGTGGGACTCTTTGGACTGAGTTTGAAGCCCATGCTTGCTCCTTGTTCGCCATCAATCCCAGCAGAGCCACCCTCTACCCCAGGTCGAAAGTTCAAGGTCTTCAGTACCTGGGATACTTTGCAAGGTCAAGAAGTCTTCAGTGCTTTGTTTGCATTGCTTGCAACAGTTTGCTTCACTCTGAAATTGCCCGCTGCGAAGCTTGGCGCACTCCCTTTGAGCAAATGCGAATAGAGGTAGCAGCAGTTCCAAAGTCGCTTCCGAAGTATCCTATGGCTAGTGGCTAAGCGCAATAGGAGTCTTGAAGCAACAGGATCCAGAAACCACCACATTGAACCCATGAACTGACAGCCAGACGTGAAGTTGATTCGACTGGCCTGCTTCGACCTCTATAACATACTCTTCAGGCTCCATTGCATCGATTAGGTCCCCTTCTCCTGACTTCACTGCATCAGCCTGGCATCAATAGGACGATCTAGAAGCAAAGAAGCAAACAACTGATTACCTCAGACAACTTGCAGAACAAAGTTGCCGAAATTCCCGTAATACTGTGCGTTGAGGCAGACACACAGCATGCACACGAAACAGAACACTTTTTCCCGAACATGCCTTCACTGTCCATTCCCTTCAAGAAAAAGTGCAGATTCACATGCTTCAAAGTCGTTGAAGAGAGATACTGAGAGAGTTCCCGCATATGGCCGAATTAAGCGAGGCTCCGGCCACAACCCCACCTTGTATCGGATCCGCAGCCGTCGCTCGCCGGTGGGAAGTCTTTTTGGTGGTATACCGTCCTGCGAAGCGTAGGGAAGCAGTTCATTGCAGTTCCAAAAGTGCCAGTAAAGTATCCAAATGTCTTGAATCTATTTGACAAATCTATTTGAATCTGCACATTTTGCCTCGACGACGACTGAGTTGGCTGGAAGGCGACACAATTCCTGGAGCTTAGTGCAGGCAACTCGAGGAGTCAAATGGGGTCAAGTTCAAATGAAACATGTTCGCTGGGGAACCTGTGCAACCCTGGCGTTTCACCACCACCCAGTTGTGGAAGGGTTGGATATTTCCATACGTCGTTGTAGGTAAACATGTGTGTATGTATACATTGTATGTGTATGTATGTGTATATATATATATTTATTTATTTATGCATATCTGCATATCCCATTCAATATTTTGTTCAAAGGGGGTGGGGGATCTGATCCCTTATGAAGATAAGTGGTGGTCGAACGTCCGGGTTGGAGCAACATATTGAAAGAGGCTGCGGCACGGAGACCTTTCTCGACAGTCATGCATAATTTCAAAATTACTTAAAACATTGTTGCGACATTCTTGCATTCTTGAAACATTGTTGAGACATTGAGGTCTTTGTGGACCCTGCCTTGGAGTTCGGATCTGCTTCTGCTGTCACTACCAGGCCATTTTCTTTTGTCAGCACCTTCGTTGGGGTGAAAGGCGAGAACAAAGGCAGGAAACAAGATGCACCCCACGAACCCGAATGCTCACACCTGTTAATGGTACAGATGCCGAAACACATGGATATGCAGATATGCAGTCACGCAAAACACTTTTCTGAACTGATTATTTGAACAGTCTTGTGCATTTTTCCCCTGTTACCATACCAGTAAACCGTAAACTGTGGAATATGGAAGAAGGTGGCGTGCTACGTGTGGGGTGTGGAGTGCAGAGCCTGGAGTGTAAAGTATGGAGTGTAAAGTGTGGAGTGTCAAGTGTAAAGTGTAAAGTGTGGAGTGTGGACTGTAGAGTGTAAAGTGTAGAGTGTGGAGTGTAAACTGCAGAGTGTGGAGTGTAAAGTGTGGAGTCTGGAGTGTGCAGTGGAAAGTGCAGAGTGTGGAGTGTGGAGTGTGGAGTGTGTAAAGTCTAGAGTGTGGAGTGTAAAGTGTGGAGTGTGGAGTGTGTAAAGTGTAGAGTGTGGAGGTGTGGAGTGTGGAGTGTAGAGTTTGGAATGAGGAGTGTAAAGTGTGGAGTGAGGAGTGCACGGCGTGAAGTGTAAAGTGTGGAGTGTAGAGTGTGAAGTGTGGAGTGTAAAGTGAAGAGTGTAAAGTGTAGAGTGTGGAGTGTAAAGTGTGGAGTGTGGAGTGTAAAGTGTGGAGTGAGGAGTGTGGAGTGTGGAGTGTGGAGTGTAAAATGTAAAGTGTAAACTGTGGAGTGCAGAGTGTAAAGTGTAGAGTGAAGAGTGTAAAGTGTAGAGTGTGGAGTGAGGAGTGTGTGTGTGTAAAGTGACTGACGGTGGGGTGTGCGTGTAGAGTGTAGAGTGTGGAGTGTAGAAGGCGGAGTGTGGAGTGTAAAGTGTGGAGTGTAGAGTGAAGGCGTGAAGTGTAGAGAGTAAAGTGCAGAGCGTGTAAACTGTAGAGTGTGGAGTGTAAATTGTAAAGTGTGGAGTGTAGAGTGTGGAGTGTGGAGTGTAAAGTGCAGAGCGTGGAGTGTAGAGTGTAAAGTGTAGAGTGTAAAGTGTAGAGTGTGGAGTGTGGAGTGTGGAGTGTGGAGTGTAGAGTGTGGAGTGCGGAGTGTAAAGTGTAGAGTGTAAAGTGTAGTGTGTAAAGTGTAGAGTGTAAAGTGTAGAGTGCAAAGTGTGGAATGTAAAGTGTGGAGTGTAAATTGTGGAGTGTAAAGTGTCGAGTGTGGAGTGCAGAGTGTAAAGTGTGGTGTGTGGAGTGTACAGTGAGAAGTATGGAGTGTAAAGTGTGGAGTGTAAAGTGTGGAGTGTAAAGTGTAGGGTGTGGAGTGTAGACTGTAAAGTGTGGAGGGTAAAGTATAAAGTGGGGAGTGTCGTGTGTAGAGTCTGGAGTGTAAAGTGCGGAGTGTAAAGTGTGGCGTGTGGAGTGTAAAGTGTGGAGTCTAAAGTGTAAAGTGTGGATGTGGAGTGCGCAGTGTAAAGTGTAGAGTGTAAAGTGTAGATTGTGGAGTGCAGAGTGTGGAGTGTAAAGTGTCGAGTGTGGAGTGTATAGTGTATGGCGTGAAGTGTAGAGTGTAAAGTGTAGAGTGTAGAGTGTTGAGTGGAAAGTGCGGAGTGTAGAATGTGGAGTCTGGAGTGCAAAGTGTAGAGTGTGGAGTGTAAAGCGTGGAGTGCAAAGTGTAGAGTGTGGAGTGTAGAGTGTAAAGTGTTGAATGTAAAGTGTGGAGTGTGGAGTGTAAAGGGTGGAGTGTGGAGTGTGGAGTGCTGCGCGTGCCACGTCAAATGACGACAGAGATCTCCAACATGCTGCACCTGCCACGAAAACTGCAACTCATCTTGTGAAAACGACGCAAAAGTAATGCGCCTGCCACACAAAACGGCTTTCGACAGGTTATCAAACAGGTTGTCATGTCACAAAGTGCCGCGCCTGCCACGCAGAACAACATTACAACCTGCTTGGAAACCTTCGAAAAGGACACGTTTTGCAGCTTCCCCCATAGACCCGGCGAGGCCACAGGAAAACCAGAGTCGAGACGAGACACGTGGGAGCATCAAAACGAGCATTTCGTGCGAGACGTCCTCCAATTTTCACACTTTGTAGCTTTAAAATCGACGTTTTCCTACGAGTTTTGTTAGGAGCCTCTAAATTCGCCCCCTCAAAACCAATGTTTCGTGCGAGGCTTCCGTCAATTTTCATCACATCTCACAAAACGCCACGCCTGCCACGGAATTTGCACCTTGTCGCCACTTGACGCAGCCTTGACAAGGCGATTCGCAAAAACACGCAACACGACACGTCTAAAGTGCTGCGCGTGCCACGCAAAATGACGCTGGACGTGTCCAAAGCGCTGTCCCTGCCACGGAAACTGCAACTTATCCTGCGAAAATATCGCCAAAGTACTGCGCCTGCCACAAAACGACTTTCGACACTTTACAAAACACGTCTGAATGTCACGAAGTTCCACGCCTGCCACGCGAAACGACGAAGTAGCGCGACGGTTGAAACCTCCAAAAATGACCATAGGCACGGCCATACGGCCCTCACGCGAACGGTTGCAGACGGTTGCGAACGGTTGCGAACGGTTGCGAACGGTTGCGGACAGTTGCGGACGGTTGGGCAACGTCGAGCGAACACACCCAGAACCCCCAGACCCCCAGAGTGAGACAGGGACCCTTGCTACGCATTCGGGAAAAAACATGCCATTAAGGCAATGTATCTCGATTCCGAGGGCTTGTCTGCACAGACTGAGCACCTTCCACTTGCGCTTGTGAGGCTTATCTTCAGCAACCTTGACGATGGAGAAAGCATTCCGTGAAGGGCAGAAAACCCTAACATGTGCAAGTTTCTGCTGCAATAGACTAAGGAAAGCGCAACACAAAGCTCATCCGTGGAATGAGGATCAGGAAAGCTTGCCTGAAAGAGAGACCTCAATCACTTATGGGCTTGAGGTGAGGCAAGTGCCAGGGATGCCTGAGATCACAAGCAACAAAGTTTGAAAGAAACATCTGCATCGCATGCGCATATGTACCTCTCCACCCTCGGCCAAGTTTTTATGTTCATGAGAAGCGAGTGATAGTTCAATTGATTTCCTTCTGTTGGTTTCTAATTTCATACTGTCCATGCTCTCAAATCAAGGCTTCTTGGGCCTTGTACGGGAATATACTGGAATCACAATTGGGATATATACCAGAAAGCAAACAAGACTGCACGTCAAAGACCCCAACCATGGAGAGTCGCCCAACCTGCGATGGTTGTCTGCCAGCCGCACCTCAAGTCAAAGAATTCAATGCGTGTTTCAAACCGAGTTTTGCAACACGATTCGCCTTTTACTGTAAACGGGAGCCATCCCGTCTTTTCTATTCTACTTCAATGAAAATGTATTCAATGAGTCACAAATAAAAGCCAACGACGTTGGTTTGCACTTTCTGCTTACACCACATGAAAAAGTCCCAAAAAACTACTTTGTGTCCATCTATTGAATCTACAGAATATCGGACAGGACGAATAGACTTATAGCAAAACATGGCTATGGATCACTTGAAAGTATCAATCAATCCTATGCAATCAAGTATTCATGGCAAGGACCCTGTCCAATTGATGATCTTTTTATAAAGAGGACAACCAGCGAGTTTGATTGTTCACGATTTGTCACGCAGATTCACACAAACTTCTGAATGCATGTCATGAATTAGTTGACCCTCCTCCTCTCACCCTCCTTCTGTCGCTTTTTGCTGCAAGAATGAGAAGTGAAAATGCTTTTATGTTGGCCCAAGCGCTACACAAAAAGAAAAATAAATAAAAATGTCACAACTGAATACGTATCTTGACTAAAAAAAAGGGAACCAAAGGATTTTGGTTCATCTTGGTGCAAACAAATGTGCTTCTTTAGCAGATTCTATGGCTCAATAGCTCCGCCTCTAGAGACAATGTGTATCGAGGAATTGGCTCACCTGGACGAAGCCTCAAGTGCAGAAATACCAACAATGAAAGAACTTTGAAATTTCAAAATATGAAAAGTTTCAAAACGAGTCAAAATGCGTCAACATTTTCAACCTTTGTTTTACGATCGAAAAACAAGACATTGTCTCACACAGGGGGCACGTTCTTCACTAAACACCCTCTAAGCATGGGAAATGGAACCTATTTCCTGTCAGTAAAGTTGAAGTTGACACGAAGGTTGGGGCGGTGGCTTTTCGTGTCGAAGTCCCCGGAGAGGTACTCTCAAGTACGTGTTCCTCACGAATGGACGCACATTGCAAATTTGAATGCTAATTTACCCGCTGCATGTCTTCGACCAAAGCGTTCACAGAAACAAACATACTGACAAGGTGCTTCTTCAGGTGCAGGTAGCTTTGACCTCAACAAGCAATGAAGAGTTAGGACGCAGATATTGTACCCATGTCTTGGTTTGTTTTTTCAACATACGTCACAACCCTTCAATAATAGACTCAGTGGTCCTCAGCGCAAGACCAGCACGATTTTTCTCAAGATCAGCGCCATCGCCCACAACCTCTTGACACGTTCAAAGTACAATCATGCGTAATAGTTGTAATCCATTTAATGGTTTCATTTTTAGCCGTCGATGCCTCAATTCCAGTTGGAAGGCAATTTTTGGTGAAGCGAAAGTCCTAGCCAGGGCGACACAGCTAGCAGAAACAGAGAGGAGACAAGATCGGAAAAAAAGAAACAAAGGTTCAGCTCCAAAAATAAAACCTATCATACTGACTCCAATACCTTGGCCAATTCTCGAGCTGGACAGCCACAGTCTGCCCAGAAACTGAAATTATATTTTTGTATCTATCCATCTAAGTATCTATCTATCTATCTATCTATCTATCTTTGTATGTAGGTATGTAGGCACGTAGGTTTGTAAGTCTGTAGGTGTCAAAGTACCTAGGTGTGTAAATATGTAGGTCTGTAGATATATATATATATATATGATCTTGTATGTATGTATGTATGTATGTATAGATGTATGTATGCATGCATGCATGCATGCATGCATGCATGTACAGTATGTATGTATTTAGGTAGTAGGTATGTATGTAGGTATGTAGGTATGTAGGTATGTAGGTATGTATGCCTGTCTGTGTATGTATGCATGCATGGACGCATGGATGCATATGGATGCATGGGTGGATGCATGGATGGATGCATGGGTGGATGCATATGGTTGCATGGATGGGTCCTGCCTGCCTGCCTGCCTGCCTGCCTGCCTGCCTGCCTGCCTGCCTGTGTGTGTGTGTGTGTCTGCGTCTGCGTCTGTGTCTGGATTTTTTTACAATAGTTCAACTAGAGCAGGGGGATCAGGCTTCCAGTGACTGACCTGATCCAACGAAGCTGGGTCACTGAAAGGGAAGTGGTTTGAGGACGCTCAGCCATGTACCTGCTTCATTTTGAATTGCTTCGTTTGGAACTATTGCTCACGCTGTCAAGTATAGGTTGGTTAGGTGTTCAGGTTCAATTTACGTGATGTTCGACCATGATTGACATACCCTGACCTGAAGGCACTTAGGCATAAGGCGACCAGAAGTTCTACTTTCCTCATCAACCAAAAACCAAAACAGTGTGTGTATGTCTATGCATGTCTATGTATGTCTATGTATGCCTATGTATGTCTATGCATATCAATGTATGTCTATGCATATCAATGTATGTCTATGTATGTCTATGTATGTCTCTGTATTCTATGCATGCCTATGTATGTCTATGCATATCTATGTATGTCTATGTATGTCTATGTCTATGTATGTCTCTGTATGTCTCTGTAAGTCTATGTATTTCTATGTGTGTCTATGTATGCCTATGTATGTCTATGTATGTCTCTGTATGTCTATGTATGTTTATGCCTGCGGACCGAAAACCGTTCCCGTAAAACGCACGTTTTTGAATATCGCGATTGTGGGGTGGAGTGGGGTGGGGTGGGGGGGCATGTTAACGTTCCTTGTACTTCGTACATGATATATTGCCATGCTGCTGAGATCTCTGGGATCGTTTACTACGTTACATGTTGCTACGCTGCTGATGGGGTGGAGTGGGGTGGGGTGGGGGGGGGGCATGTTAACGTTCCTTGTGCTTCGTGCATGATATATTGCCATGCTGCTGAGATCTTTGGGATCGTTTACTACGTTACATGTGCTGATGGGGTGGGGTGGGTGGGGTGGGGTGGGGGGGTGGAGTGGGGTGGGGTGGGGGGGCATGTTAACGTTCCTTGTGCTTCGTACATGATATATTGCCATGCTGCTGAGATCTCTGGGATCGTTTACTACCTTACATGTTGCTACGCTGCTGAGATCTCTGGGATCGTTTACTACGTTACATGCTGCTACGCTGCTGAGATCTCTGGGATCGTTTACTACGTTACATGTTCTATGTGGAATCTGATGAAAAAGTCAATTCCCAGCAACTTGAGTGCCAAAAGTGACCTCTTGATGGTGTATGCTAGAGTCTAGAGCTTGGCAATGGAGATGCATTCACAAGAATGCTGACTGCCAGCTGATAACGGTGCATGCGTTGCAGCGATGACGCTGAAAAGCCCAAAAACGCGCCCCAAGTTTTTCCAGGATTCCCAATCATCAAATCAGCACGGCACTGTGGTAAAATCACCATTTTTTAAAAAAAAACGTGCGTTTTATGGGCACGGTTTCCGGTCCGGCGGGATGTTTATGTATGCTTGTGTATGTCTATGTATGCCTATGTATGTCTATGTATGCCTATGTATGTCTATGTATGCCTATGTATGTCTATGTATGTCTATGTATGCCTATGTATGTCTATGTATGTCTCTGTATGTCTATGTATGCCTATGTATGTCTATGTATGTCTCTGTATGCCTATGTATGTCTATGTATGTCTCTGTATGTCTATGTATGTCTATGTATGCCTATGTATGTCTATGTATGCCTATGTATGTCTATGTATGTCTCTGTATGTCTCTGTAGGTCTATGTATGCCTATGTAGGCCTATGTATATCTATGTATGTCTATGTATGCCTATGTATGTCTATGTATGTCTCTGTATGTCTATGTATGTCTATGTATGCCTATGTATGTCTATGTATGTCTATGTACGTCTTTGTATGCCTATGTATGTCTATGCATGTCTATGTACGTCTTTGTATGTCTATGTATGCCTATGTACGTGTATGTTCGTGTATGTAAATGTATGTACGTGTATGTAAATGTATGTATGTGTATGTTTGTGTATGTATGTGTATGTGGATGTATGTGTATGTATGTTTATGTACGTCTACATATGTCTAAATATGTTTATGTATGATGCCGTATGATTACAGATTATGTATGATTATGTATGATTATGTATGATTGTGTATGATTATGTATGATTATGTAAGATTATGTAAGTATGTATGTAAGTATGTAAGTATGTAAGTAAGTAAGTAAGTATGTATGTATGTATGGATGGATGTATGCATGCATGCATGTATGTATGTATACATGTATGTAAACATGTATGTATACATGTATGTATACATGTATGTATACATGTATGTATACATGTATGTATACGTGTATGTATACATGTATGTATACATGTATGTGTACATGTATGTATACATACATGTATACATGTATGTATACATGTATGTATACAGGCATGTATACACGTATGCATACATGTATGTATACACAGGTACATTTATGTATATATATATATACATAGTCTATGTGTGTGTCTCTATGTAAAGCTGCAAGTGAATGTAAGCACACACCTGGCCCATGTATACATATTGATATAATATCTGGATAATGAACATTCATGTATATATATATACAACCAGTTTTAATCATCAATATATATATATGCAGCTGCATGCATGTGTGTACACTCAGGTTCATCTGTCTTGGATGCATACCTGATAGCAACAGAGGTAGACAAAACAAACAAAAAACTGAGGAGACTATTGAAATCATAGCCCTGACTATGGAGGCTATCATGCACAAGTGTAGGATTCCCGCGCAGAAAGGCGCATGCACACAGAGTAAAAGAAGATTCAAAGGTAAAATGCATTACTTTGCACCAAAGCACATTGAAGCTGCTGTCGCCCGAATAGCCAGTGGCATCTCGAGTGACCTCGCACACGACCCCAAGCATGCCACAGACGAGCCTTTTTACTTTTGCAACTTTTGCTCCACTCATAGACTTCCAAGATTTAAAAGTGAGGCACTGACTCGCTCCAGTGGGCGCAGCCTTGTGTTGGCCACTCGCTTTGTTCGGCCATCCTGCAGTTTTGTGGCTCAGAGCCAAAAATCTTCAAATTGCTAAGATTTGCTTAGATTGGCTTAAGACCAGCAGATCACGGAAATCTTCAGCCAAACTGCTCAGACTCAACAGGTATCATAAAACCAAGCCGTGGATGCAGTGGTGCACGGCTTTGGGCCAAGCAACTTCATATTTGACATTGGTTTCACTTTCGCCCAGCTCCAAAATCACCTCACACAGACTTGAAATGACTTGAAGATACTTGAAGATTTTCCAGCACATCAGTTCAAGTCCAGAAACATTCAAATCCGACTGCCTCAAATAGCCTTAAAAGTGCATTGAATGATCAACTTGATAGGTAGAATTTAGTGCATGGCTCCAACGCAGACTTTCTTCTTCTTCTTTCTTTTGGTATCCTGCCATCAGGGAAAGGCATGTAGCGACATGCACTGAAAGGAGTGACGACTGACAGTGTGTACTTTGGCAAGGTCTTTCAACAAGTCTAGGTAACTGATTGGTTTTTACCTTGGGCTTGAAACAGTCAATGTCCGCTAGGGGGATATTTCTATCATTGTGTCAATTGCAGCATTTCTACCAATGACGAAAAAGTCTGTCAGCTTCTGAGAACTTATATTTTCGATTTCTATCATGTGCTGTTCAAAACAAACAGTATTGTCAAGTATATAGTTCCCAAGTAGTTCCAGTAGTTTCCATTGACAGTACAGGACGCAGGGTCTGCAAACTGCTGGAGCTGTGAGTCTAGACCAAAAGTTTGGAGCCGGGGCCAAAACAATGCAAGGAGGCAAGTTCTTGTGTTGGGTGCAATTCCTGCCGTCACAGGACAATGGGGACCTTTTCATTCAGGCTGGAATAAAAGACTCCTGAATGGGCAATCTGCGGCATGTACATTTGCCAAACCTATATAACCAGACACCCGAAGGTGCCTCGTTAATCATTGGCAATCGGTCAACAAACTAGTCAATGACTTCCAGGATCTGCCAACTAGGTTCAAAAAAAACTTTATCCCAGATACAACAAAATAAAATGGCTGGATTGTTTTCCTGGTTTGCTCGGTTTGCTGCTCGGCCAATGTGTTAGTTAGAGCTCAGGCTCAAGCTGAAAGAATCTGAAAGAGGTGCAAACCGACCCAAACCAACCCACAGCCACAGAAAACCACAGGGAAGCTGCAGAGCTCCGTCAAAAGAAGTTGCCTTGAAGGCCACTCACCGGGGGAAACCAGAAATCTCTCCCTCTCTTGCCGCGATCTCTGACAGTCAACCAGGAACTAAGGCAGAGTCAAAGGAGTCTTACATCTTTGCGGCCACGTTGCAGAACTTGAAACACACAAATGTAAACACACAGAAGGTGAGTTGAAAGCAGCCAGGAGTCTGGACAGGCGGGAGTGGAACAAGCTGAAATCACTCAGCTTTGGTTGGAGGCAGCTTGTGATTCTTTGAGAGGAGACTCCTTTTTTGGAGCAGTTTTTTGTTGATCTGGGAGCAAAATTGAAACATGCTGCAGCGCTTATCGAAGAAAGTAGAAGAGAGCCAGCAGCCTGCTTCAGGGACATAAAAGAAAAACATCAAAGATTCCCGGAGAGACCTTGGCCTAGGGGCCTGGAAGCATCTGGAGGCCCGAAAATTAGTCTTTTTGTCTGTCAATGTGGCTGCACTCAGCAGAGCCTCTTCATCGTTTTGTAAGACAGGTGGACAAAATGCAAAGTCCGTTTGCTCTCCGCACACTTTTTCGCGCACGCACATCTCATCAAAAAGCTATATCTCGATCATGTCTACAGTAAACAGGATGATCTCACCATTGCGAATGCCAATCTCAAAACTGAGGCACGAATAGGTATGACACTCCATCCATCGTAGCCTGTCAATGTGCTTAGAGGCTGCTCAATCAATCTGCTTACTTATTTGGCATATTTTGGCATCGCATTCTCTTAGATGTTCCACGCTCACTTGGTGCTGAGCAGTTGCCCAGAGAACTGCTCCTGGAGAGGAATGTAGATGCAGTGACTGGAGCTGGAAGACTGAAACTGTGGAGGCCACTGTCAAAGTAGAGTTCTTTGCGTTGGGCTCGTGAGTTTCAATGGTTTTTGCATCTGCAAATCTCAATGCACATCTTCAAATGCACAACGCATGTCAAATGACATCTCTCTTTCTGCTCTGTCCTGGCACTTCAACATTTTGCTGACAGTGGCATCTCCACAACTCAACAACTGATAGCGGTGTGCGAAGCAGCTAAAGAAATCCTGACAATGGCAGAGGTTCATGGACAGTCTGGCTATCCCATCCCAAGCAATCCCCTCTGCAGTCATCTTCCACTCAAATAGCGCGCTCCTCCACTTGAGCAGCACACTCACCCTTGACTGCATTTGAAACACCTTCAACAGCAGCCTCAGCATTGAGAAAGATTGCCATGCAAAGCAAGTTCTAGACCGTCGTGGAGAGAAAACAAAATATGAAAGCTGCTACTTTTTCTGGAAATGCGCTGGAGTCACAAACAGCTTGGGACTTCGAACCTGGACTGCTTCCACTGAGACATGCAAAAAAAGAGTGACTGTGCATTCAGAGATTCTGAGGCCGCCGCCTTTCGCTCGCCGATGCAAGCTGATGCTCCTTTCTCCTGGGTTGCAGTCAGTAGTAGTAACGTTGCATGTGTGGAGAAGCACAAGAAGTTTGAAAAGCAGTTTGACATGTAGAAGTTTTGATCAGAAAGAGTTTGCAGCGATAGCTGAGAGGCAGTTGCGCTGCTAAGATTTGTCTCCTTGATGCATGCCTTGAAGGTGCGAATAGCTGCTTTCGTGTCGTTCACCGTCATCGCAGCTGACCTAGTCCCCTCTGTGCGCCGCGCAACGGAAGAGATCTTTATAGATCTTGTCACCTCCTTCACCCAACTTGGGCCAAAAACGCCAAGTTTCAGCAGTGGCAAAAACGACCGGGAAGGATCTCAAATTCAAGAAACGAAAATGAGAACGGATGTGGATAAACAAAGATAGATAGCATCACATAGATAAAATAATGAACAAAATGTCAGCTGAAGGTTTCCAGACTCAGAGCATGGTATAAACATGATGCAGCACAACTTGTGGCACAACATCAAAGTGTGGGAAGAATGTGATTTGGCAAGGCAGGGTGTTGTCCAAAAAATGTGCCCACTTCATGAAGCACCTCCACGCGCATGTTGATGCGGAGTGGAACTCGCACACGTTCCTGCCAAGGTATAGTAAATTTCGATGCGTCGGAAACACAAGAGCCTCCCATGGTTTCAAAGTTTAGTTTCAAGAGCCTCTTCCTCTTCCTCTTCTTCTTCATCACTGCCTGGTTTCCACGCTTGACTGCATTGTAGAATATTAGTTGGCGCATCACACTACATGTTGCCTGTACATCACATAGTGTTCAAATGGTCAGTTAAAGTCAAAAGCCATGTTCTCGCCCAATCTCAGAAGACCGTGGCGCCCAACAGAGTGTTTTTGGTTTAGTACAACTGACACCCTGTTGCCCGACTGCCCTGAAATATCATACAACGTTGAAGGCACCTGTTTCCAGTGGTTCAACTGCGCAACATGATTGTGAAAACACTGGAAGGCAAATGCAATAGGAACCATTTTTTTGCGTGCGCATGACTTAGAATCGAGTACAAACACTTCACATCTGAACTTGTTGCAGGACATGTCGTCAAAAAATGTATGTAATCAGTAGGGAAACAATGATAATTTTGGACAGTCTGGAAGCAAACCGTTTCAAGTTGTTGTTGGATCTGGATTCATTGAACGGCCTTTGTCCACGCTTTCTTTGTCGCTTTCATCGTCTTCCACAACTGTCAGTGAAGCACCTAGCATAACTTAGCATAATTGCATCTGCACTCTGAGTGGTAAAACCCATATAGGATTTCCAAACCAAACGTGATCAATCCAGAAGCCGCAATGCCAGGGGTGATCCACTTTGAGCATTGACAGATTGCAAGGTGTTTTTAATCTTGTCTCCGCCTGGTAGAGAGACTTCAGGTCCTTCATGGACATTCACAACCTCACTTGCCAGTGGATATTATTCCTAGGCATCAGTATGTTGTCTTCCAATTTAACGTTATCCAGAACAAATTTTGGCTGAGATGAAAACACAAATTTGCCGAGTTTTGTCGTCACCAGGATGGAAGCGAACGGACTTGCGACGCACGCAAAATTACAATATGAAATGAATGTCGTTTTCTATGCAATCCATCCGAAAACTCGGTTCAACACCAAAATGAAAAATAAAAACTCGGTAAAAAAACAACAAATTTCAACGCACAAAGCAATAAAAACATCAAAGCACCCACCTTCACTATGCCATTTTTGCCGAGAACTCCCATGTAGCTACCTTCCCACGTCATGTCCACCACCTTGGGTTCAGCATGAACATCAAATACAAATGACATTTTCTTTCAGGAAAATGATTGTGACTGACAGGTCGGAAATTACATGATGTCATCCCAGTTCGCAATTTTGTGCTCACGTTTTACAAGAAATAAATCACCATCACCAACTGACATGCGTCGGTGAAAACTGAATCAAAGCCGATAGGCGGCCACTAACCGCGACAGTGTCAATTTTTAAAAGGGTTCCGTTTCTGCAAAACGGACATAATGCACCTCCAAATGTTTCTTCACTTCGGCCATGCTGCCTGCAATTCCTTAGAACTGCTTCGATTTCTATGCTTAGGTTGGCAACACCCTGACACCGCTTGAAGAACCATGGCGCATTCAAGCAGGGCAGCCATGTGACGGACGCAATCGCCAACAAACAATTCGGACTCTTCTTCTTCATCCTTCTCCTTTGCTGCACCAAAATTTGACACAGGAACAAAGAATGCAATTCCCGACAATTCCCCATTTTTTCGGACTCTACTTGTCCCCGCCTTCTTTTCTCCTTCGCCATCCTGCATGCAAAAAAATGTGACAATGTTGTGAAAAGTCAAAGTATGCAAGTGCCTCCGGCATAGTGAACAAAGCAAGCGTCGCACAAAGAAACACAGCAGCTGCTGGGAACCAAAACGCCACACACACACATCGACATGTGTGACGGAAATCGATTTAGCCCATATTGTTCCATGCATCGCAAGCAGTTTTTATGATATGCGTAAAAAGGAAACGATCAATTGGAAATTGGGAAAAAAATGTTTTGGCATGAAAACCACAGGTTTACTGCGCATTTGCTGTGATCAATTGCCAAAATATTTTGTTGAAAAAATGAAAGTTCATATCGCGCATGTTTGGAAAATTATGTTACATGCATTCCATTTTGGTGAATTTGTTTTTTCAAACGCAAAATTGCATTCTAGTTCACGTTTGCAACAACAAGGCAAACAATTTTTATCCGAAGAAACATTTATGCTTCCCGACACCATCTACACGTTTATAAAACGGGACAACGAAGCATTGTTTATCACTTTTACAGCCCCTGCTGAGCCAACACATATGATTGCACTGTCAACACTTGTAACTGACCTGACATGCACTTGACAGAACTGTGTGAGAAACTGCTGCGCTCAAAATGCAAGTTTTTTCAAAGCTGGGGGTGTTCTGTGGCCTGCTGTTCAGGCTTCAGGGTCTGGCAATGCCCTGAACATACGACGCCTGATATTCAGGCGAAGGCTTACGACGCTGGGTTCAGCGAAGGCATAATGGCATGGGACGAAGTCGTGTCCACGAGGTCCGCGGCAAGCCAAAGGTGAAGTAAAGGTGAGTCACAAACTGCCAAAGGGTGGCAGAGGGTGAAGCAGTTTGAAACTCACCTAAAAGAAAAACATGGTTAACCACAGTCAGCATGACATAGTTGGATGAAGTGACATTGAAGTGGCCTGGATACGTTGAACTTGAAGAACATGATGCACACATACTGAAACGACCGTTTGAACCAAGCAGCTGATGTGCATCCACATCTTGTATGCAGTGATAAGTCGCTATCATGTTTGACAGCTACATTATCACTTTTACAGCCCCTGCTGAGCCAACACATATGATTGCACTGTCAACACTTGTAACTGACCTGACATGCACTTGACAGAACTGTGTGAGGAATTGCTGCGCTCAAGATGCAAGCTTTTTCAAAGCTGGGGGTGTTCTGTGGCCTGCTGTTCCCCCCAACTTTCATAGAGTGCCACGAGTTCATCACAGCTGGCTGAGGGATCAAGCTTGCATTCCTTTGCGCCCATGTCCAAGACTTTCTGACAGTTTAATCTGGAAGGCCCATCTGAAAGATTTGAATCCGGGGGGATTCTTGCATAACACGGTGTGAGCTGTTTAGTGCACTCAAGCGCCATTGTTGCAACGAGGATTTTCTTAGCAGTTACATTTCTAGAGACGCAAGAAATAAGGGAATCACGAACACCGTTGTTATCAGTATAGATAACAACTGCATTCGTGACCCTATCACCCCAAAGCAAGAAAGCGCAAAATAACGCAAAGAATTCACATTTGAAAATTGCCGTCTGTTTGCCTGCAGGATTGAATACTGACAACATCACATCAGACAACCTTTGTGGGAAGAAAAGAATTGGTTTCCCTGTTGGAATGAAGAGCACTGCACCAACACTCGCTGTAACACTGCTACCATCAGCATCATAACAAGCGTCTGTCTGGATGAACCATGGTTCTGCTGAAGAAGGTTTGAGTTCACGGGGGCGGCCAACACTAAGCAAGGTTCTGTGCAAACGGATAGCCAGGATTGCATCACCTGAAAGTGAGCTACCTCCGGAGGAGTAGGCATGGTTCGAAATGGCTGCCAATGAGCACTTTGCAACCCTTCCCAAAACATTTCCAGAAGTGAACTGAAGCCGTCCCCGAAGCCGCAAAGCCTCATGTTTTGTCATCTGTCCTTTTGAGAGCACCAAGTCCAAGAATTCGATCAACTCCTTACGCCTGTTCTCCGTGTTACCAAGTTTCACAAGCCCAGCATGCAGTGTCGACACATCGATGTTGACCCCTAGGGCCTGAAACATAGTACTAAAAGGAGGAGCCTTGTCACCAGACTCTGAGAAAGCCCATCCAAGAAGTTTGAAGTACGTGTGGACGCAAGAAGTGATTGAGTTACTTTCAGAAGTTGGGGATGCAGCAACAAAATCATCGAAGTAATTGGTCAGCAAGATCTTGAACTCTTTGACCAAGACCTACCACAAACTGTGGGAGATACGAAGAAACGCGTGCACTGAACGCACCGACCCAAAAGGCAGGGCCTTCATCCTGAACCCAACCAACTCAAGGGTATTTGGTTTTTGAACTATGATGTGGGCATATCGCTTTGATGTTGGTTTCACAGCGCACTGCCTGTAAGCCCCAACTAAATCAAAAATCCTGCCAACCCAAGGTTCATCATTCGAAACAGCTGACATCAAGTGTACGCACATTGCTGCAAAAACATCTATCGTGTGAGGCTTTGGACTCTCGCAAGTCTGAACGCAGCTGTTCACTGATGACCTGGAAAAATCATCAATGCACCTCACCTTGGCTCCTTGCTGTATTCCAAACCTGCGGCTCAGCGGACAATCCAAGGGGATGTCCTTTAAGTCAATCGGGCCCTCAAGCAAGCCAGAGTTCACCTCATCCATTGTCTTGTCCCAAACAGGGACAATGAACTCAGCTCCGACTGAACTGGCAAACTGCTGTTGCAAGCCTGCACGCTCACGCACTGCTATATCGTGCAACTCATCAACTGTCACAAGTGCTGGCTGAAATTTGGTAGGCCACAAGCCTGTTCTTTCCACTACACCAACCAGATCGGTGCCGCCACGCAACTCATCAATGACACCCATGTCAGGGTAATCAACAGCTCTGAGCATCTCCTCCCACAACAGGAGATTTTTCTCCTTGAGGATCTGAGCCACTTCGATATCCATGGATGACTTCAACTCACTCTCAGACTCTTTGAGATCCACAAGGCGCCACAACCAAAAACCCAACTTGCAAGCTCTGTATTGTAAACGCTCCTGCAAACTTGTTTCTTTGTAAAACTCAATCGTGGACTGCAGAACTTCTGGAAGCCCTCATTTCACAGTTGTTGGATGGCCAAACTTAACCATCTGCTCAATGAACTGGTCTTCTGACCACGGGACACCCCATAACTGTGTCTCACAGGTACCCTGTCTGGTCACTTGTGGCTCCTGACACATTGAAACAATGCGGTTCAAATCATCTTCACAAATCTGCTGCTCCGAGACGAAAACCCCCCTTTCCAGACATGAGGGAGGCAGCAAAAAAGGCATAACCTGCAAGAGTTTGGAAGCTTTCGGCAACAGAGTTGGGGCATTGATTGCTTGCACTTGAAGTTGAGCCTGCAGCTTTCACTGTAGTTGAAACTGTGGCAAATCACTTTGAAAACCAGAAAGCGCCACTTTCGCCGCAAACGTCGGTATCAACGGTGGCAATCTGCTTGCCTTTGGTTGAAGGCCAGATTGAGCTCGCAAAGCTGACAACGTTGCATTGTGAAACACCCCAACTGCATCCATAGTTTCTTGTGGCATTCTGATGCCTCGATTCTGCAAGGCCACCACAAATTGGGCAGCTATTGCCCGTGCAAGCTGAATGGGGCACGCAGTCTCCAGTGCTGTAGCAAATTTCCTGGATTCAACATCAATACCCCATTTGTCGTGTTTGTGGCTTGCAGAGATGCCACAACACATTTTATTTATCACTGCAAACTCCTCTGCATTGTGTCCCAACATAGTGCGCTTCGGACGTGTGCTTCCATACATACAAGATTGAAAGGTTGTGAAGTCCATCAAGTGAATGATTGATTGGATGAAAGTTGTCTGCCAAAAGAAGCCGAACTGTGGATTTTCAATGGAAAATAAACAACCATGCTCAATGGCCCATTGGACAAGCTTGGCCGTCAAAAAGTACAACTTGTTCGCCTTCGAGACCTTGACACGGTCGACAAACAAAAGGTTGGGCAGTCCATTTGGATGCCTATCAGACCTGAGTGGCCTTGGGTCACCAGGTGCCTTCCTCTTCAGCGGCGGTATTGACCTCGCTCTTGAAGCCGATCCACCTGGAGGCGCAATGAAAATGCCTACAACAGGCTCGTCTGCCAACCACTGCATTAACAGGTTGACACCAACATCTGTAGTGAAGTCTGCAATAACCACCTGCGCTGCAGCTTGCTTGTTTCGAATGTGGTCAGTGCCAAATGCGCTGATCATGCCAATCTTACGAAGCTCAGCTGTTACTCTGGCAGCTCCTGCAAAGATTTCAATTACCATGCAATCTGAGATGTCCGCACCAGCACTGGCCAATGCACTGATGCGGCCTTGGCGTCACTTCTTTTTGTCGTGGTCTTTCTCAGCATGGGGGGCAAAGCAGCCCTTACGGCAACAAAGATGCCATCCCTTTGAACACTTTGCTCCATCTGCCGCCTCTGAACACTTGTTGATCTGATAGTTGAAGCACAGCCTACGTCCATGCATGCCCATGTTTGTATTGTCCCTTCCAAGGGAAGGACTCCTTTCCCGCCTTTGTTCTTTCCCTTGCCACCACCTTGATGCCCCTTTCCTTTCTAAGGCTGGGAGCGGTTCTGCCATGAATTGCCCTTGGACTGCTGATAGTTGCTGCCAGATTGAGCTCCCTGATATGTCTGATGTTCAGGTCTCCCAGAGGTTTTGGGCAGCGGCAATAAATGAAAACCAACTTCGTACGACTGCAGCGCTTCAAACAACTTTGTGTCCATGTCGAGTGAATTGTCTGGCAATCGCTTCAACTGAACACCAACCCTGATCAGGAACATGAAGACCTGTCGATCGGCCTTGAGGATCTGCTGCAAAGTCGGCCTGCAATAATTTTGAGGCGGATCCAAACGCAAGTGGCTGGTCAGTTTTTGAAGGTACCGTTCATGGCATTCCCAAGACAAAATGTCAGCGAAGTCCATCACCACACCACGTCTGCACAGAGCTTCAAATGCCCGCAGCTCGCTTGAATGGAATTGGTCTGGGATGTCCGACTTCTCCTTAACCATTGACCACAAGCTTCTCCGTGTCCAGTGACAGCTGTTTCTTCGTTTTCCCATGGTAAGTTCCCATTCTCTTGAAGTCAGTCGTTAAAGCTGAACATCTCCACAATGACCCCTTGCAAACGTTGCTTGAGTTGGGTCATACGGTGTTCACGCTCCAACGCTGGTAATTTCCTGCTGGCAGCTGGATTGGGGTGTCTCACAAGCTCTCTCAACTGCCCAAGCACCATTGTATGCCCCTCAAAAACAAGCCGCTTTAGCACAGCAGTGTCAGCCTGGCTTATCATAGCGCCAAGCGTGTTCTGAGAAAAGTTGATAAATTCATTTTGATCTAATGGATGGCCAGGCTGTCCCACCGCAAATGCAATCTTTCCCATCGTGTCAAGATTGCCCTGCATCAACTGCTGAATGCCACGTTGTGACATGCCCATGTCTGAGCATCTCTTCTCCAGGTGAGCCACTGAGTCGACTATTGAAGTCATGGCTGCACCCCGCACGAAATAAACTGTTGCTTCACTGCTTCACCAGAAAGAATGCATGAAAGCAAATTCCCTTTCAGTTGTCGTTCACTTCAATGACAAAACATGAGGAAAAGAAAGTGAAGACAGTCAACGCACTAAGACAAAACACATGCGAAAAAGCATTCACAAGGATTTGTCGACTGAGTCATTTCAGATTGATACATTCCATCCTTTCAGCACATTGCTGCAGTCTCCACTCATCGTGGTGATTCATGCACATTGCATCGCATGCGCCCCTCATTGGGGCCAACCACATTGGTTGCAATGACAAACATGGTTCAACATTCACATCACCGGCAACATAGCAAGTGGAGAGAAAATGACATGTCACAAATGCACATTGCAAAGAGATTTGTCTAACCTTGGTTCACCTCTCTTCCTACGCAACGTCGCGCTTGTGCTTTTCAACTTTCAAAATCAAAGTTGACGCAAATTAAAATTATATATATATACACTCAAGTAACATATACATATATATATTAGCTTTTTTTAAAGTCTCGTAAAAATATTTTTGTTATCTAGCGTACGTGTAGTGACGAGTGACATGAACGGGGGTATGAACGTGTGTGTGAACGACATGCGTGCGAGTGAACGTACGTGCGAACGTATGTATGTACGAGTGAGCGTACGTGCGAGCGAACGTGTGAGCGTACGTCCGTGCGTTTGCACGGTCACTCGCCACGCGCGCGCGCACGTACGAAAATAAGGTCGACTTGAGTCGACCTTATTTTTGCACGACCCTGCCTCTTTAGTATTGATTTAGTATTGTAGCGCTTTGCACGTACAGAAATAAGGTCGACTCCAGTCGACCTTATTTTCGTACGTGCGCGCGCACGCGGCCAGTGAACGTGCAAACGCACGCACGTACTCGCACACGTCCGTCCACTTGCACGCACACGTCCGTTCACTCGTTCGCTCACACGTGCACTCGTCCGTTCACTCGTTCGCCTTACATTCGTCACCACGTCCGTTAGCCACTCGTACCCCCTACGTTCACCGCGTCTCTTGGAGCTTTAAAAGCATTGTTTACGAGGCTTTAAAAAAAGCTAATATATATAATGCAAATCAAAGCAAACGAAGCTGCACATCCAGATGTGATGCAAGATGGAAAACTCACGGCTGACGCTTTGATATTAAGATCTCCTTTTTCTTCTTTCAATAAATTGGGGAGTCGGCACGCTTTCGTGTTTGCGTAAGACACCTTCGTATCGCACGCCTTCCAACCCAATTCATCTTCTCGTGAGATCATAGAAAGGGGAGCAGCGTTTGAAGCCCTTTGCTTCGAGTTCTGAGAATTGTAATCTGGAAGGGTCATCGCTCAAGTTTGACTTTGAGGGTACTCTTGAGTACACGTGTAAAGCTTGTAGCTCCACGTCCATTCTAGCGTTGATGACCAACATCTCGTAGTTTTCAAGGACTGGTGAATATGAGCGAATGACCGCTGCAAGAGAAGAGTTGTTGTCAATGAACCAAAGAAGCGCTCTACCATACAGCAACTCACGCCAGGTGTTCTTGGCAACGATGATGGGGAACAACTTGGCCTGGCAAATAAGTTGCTTCTTACCTTCTGCTCGCCACTTCTCAGTCCAATTGGCAGGCACATAGTCGCCAAACATGAGAGCTGTGCCGTTTTCTGGATCGTAAAGTGTTGCCCCATGAGTGACGCATTGACCGTCATCCTCACAGGCACCATCAGTGAAGAGAAGTATGGGTAATCTCCCCGACCAAGCAGATACCTTCCTAGGTTTTGCGTCCATCAGGCATGACAGAGCTTGTTTGATGCCTTCTTTCAGGGGCTCCTCCATGAGCACCAAGGGTCCTCTTCTTGAGACTCTGGATGTGAGCTGAATTGCAAGCTGTGAGCAGCGTCCAAATGTGTGTCCAGCCGCGTACAGTAGTCGTCCTTTCAAAGTTTCCAGCGTGGACAACGCAACAGTCTCGCTCTCACAAATACTTTCTACCAGACTTTGCAAGTCATTGATCCTGGAGGGCTTGTTGTGAACAGCAATAGTGCCAGAAGCGGCTTTTGTCAGGTCAACGACTGCTTCAAGCAAGTTAAACTCCTCAGAGAAGGGTGAACGCTTGTCCTCGGACATCGAGATGCGCCATCCCAGGAGCTTCCTCACTAGCTCAGCCGTCTCCCAGGCGGAGTTGCAAAGCCCTTCGCACTCAAGCTGGCAAAAGTCATCAAAGAAATTAGTGTTCACCACCGTAAAAAGCTCTGAAAGAATCAATCGCAGCGATTTGGCCATCCTATTGAATGCCATTACGGCACATACAGGGCCAAACGGTAGGGCGATCGCCTCATAGAATTCCACTGCAGACGTGTCGGCGTTCCACACCGCAAGGATTGATGCCCAGCCATCAGCTGGGTGACGGGCAAGTTGTTTGTAGGCGCTTTTTAAATCAAGCGCTCTTTCAAGAGTCTTCTTCCAAGGGCCGCAAAAGTCTGACACCTTCTGCGCACCACAAATTGTCAAAACCTTCATCCATCATCAAAAATCGCGCCCCAAAAAGGTGCGTGCAGTGTTGACCACCTCATCCAAACCAAAGAGCTGCAATTTCTCCGTCGCCGTTACTGAAGCGTTGATCAAAAATTCGGAAAAATCATCAACAGCTCTTGTTTGTTCCCTTGCCTGACACCAAATCTCTTTGAAGGGATCCAACAATCAGCGTATTTCTTGTCAAGCTCCGAGGAAGTAAATGGTCCCTTCACCCAACCGTCCTGCAACTGCTGAACGGTTTTCTCGTAAACTGCCTTGGCCATCTCAGAGTCTGAACCAATGCGCCTGCAAGAGGCATGGATCATGCACAGAAATCATTGCAGGTTTGAGACGCGCCGGAAATTGTATGGACTCAGCATCTCACCAGTGTGGCTCCTTGACCCAGGTGCATCTACAAGTGTTTTGGCTGAGTCACGCTTGTCAGCCTTCAGGTCAGTGCTGCAGGATAGTGAGGGATTAGGTGGCTACAGAGCTGCCAATGGATCTTGGGTCAACATCTCCGGCACTGCTGAGATTGGAGTGCAGATGCACATGTCAGGCCCATTAGGTGATGATCTCCCTCACCTTTCATATCGTATTGCCCTGTTGCTGACCTTTTATGTGGGTTTCAGAAAGATCTCAAATGATTACATGCTCACACACTGATAGACTCCTGCCACAATGATTCTGTGGTGACACCATTGAACTGCTAATTCATTGCTGAAGTGGCAGCAGCTCTCTGAGCAGTCGCAGCGCTCTTGATGCTTGGACAGTGCAGCCCTGCTGCGATGTCCCGACCGATCTGCCGGAAGCGCAAAACGGACCCGCGGAAAGTAAATTGCCATCCCCTCCAACATCCCCAAGAACAGATCAAGCTAAAGCAAGGGAAGAAGAAGCGAGGGACATTCTGGCCCGCGCCAGCAAAAATCATGCCGACGACGGGGCAGATGATTTTTTTTTGTTTTTTTGACCGGCGCCCTGTGCCTTTCGGCGGGTCGCGGCACTTGACACTGACTCGTCTACCACGTCACGATCGCGGCCCCGTACACGGGGGGAATCGATCCGCGGCTAGCTGTCTATGCACGGTCCTGAGACGGGCATTATACCAGAACGCGACGAGATCAGCTCGACGACGGGGCGGAGGACTTTCACTCCCATTCAATCTGGTGACTGGGTAAACTTAACGTGCTCTCGACACAAGCTATGGACGACATTTGCGCCCTTGGGTTTGAAATCGGCAGTAGTGCAGCGAATTTGTCCATCAGTGGTCTTCTCATACACGGAACCGATGCAAAACTGGCATCACGCCCCACGTGGTTAGAAGACGAAACCGTTGCCCGTGCATGGATCGCCCAATACCTTGACGAAAAGGAGTAGAAAGAAGAGTTCCAAAAGATTAAGTCCTGAGTTTACTCCAGGGATAGTTACTTTCAAAACTTGGTACCCATTCATTCAGACTCTTGAATTAATCTTTTTTGGCTGATGACTTGCTAGGAAGACTTAAATCAAGAGTTAAATCCTATGTTTGGAGTGACGTTGGCCGGTAGCATTGCTCTGACTGATTGGTTGTCAGGAACACTTAAATCAAGAGTTAATTCCCCCATAGTGTCCACGGCAGGTTCTGGGAAGTTTGGGTGGGGAATAGTTTATTAGGTTTTGGAAACGTTCCTGTGCAGTTCCCAGGAAGGTTCCGGTAGGTTTCAGACAGGTTCCCGTGCAGTTCCCGGCAAGGTTCCGGTGGGTTTTGCTGGCAGCTCGAAGGGTGGTTCGGGACGGTTTGAAAAATTCCTTTCAGGAAGACTTCAATCAAGAGTTAATTCTCCCACAGTAGGTTCTTGTACAGTTCCCAGGAAGGTTCCGCTAGGTTTCGCAGACAGGTTCCCGTGCAGTTCCCGGCAAGGTTCCGGTGGGTTTTGCTGGCAGCTCGAAGGGTGGTTCGGGACGGTTTGAAAAATTCCTTTCAGGAGGACTTAAATCAAGAGTTAATTCTCCCACAGTAGGTGGTTCCGGTAGGTTTCGGACAGGTTCCCGTGCAGTTCCCAGGAAGGTTCTGCAAGGTTTCGGAAAGGTTCCTGTGCAGTTCTCGGCAAGGTTCTGGTGGGTTCCGTACGGTTTTCCTTGAAGTTCGAAGGTTGTTTCCAGGAAATTTCTGGGAGGTCCGGGACACTGGTTGCAGTTGCCACGGAACGTTCGGGACGGTTGAAATGAAAAGGTCCTTTCAATAAGATTTAAATCAAGACCTATGGTCTTGCGAGGGATGGTTCTGGTTGCAGTCGCATTTGGACCACGGAACGTTCGGGACGGTTTGAAACGTGAAGTTTCATGTGGACATGGCCCGGGCAGCCTTTGCAGCACGAATTGTTTGCTCGCACTTGGTCATCCGCAATGAAGCGTGCCCTGGTCATGGTGTTGTGGCTGCTTGTGTCCCATGCCTTGGCTGTGGTGCTGTACCGACGTGGTACACTTCCTGGAACCAGGGTTCAATTGGTTGAGTCGGAAGCGGGCTTGACGTCTCAGCTGAGTGCAGAAGGATGGGAGGACATGGGTTGCAGCAGCACCCATTGCATGGTCATTCATGTTCTCTTCTCTTTCTCCCTTGCATCTTCGAGCATGGATGCACGTCTCATCACAGGGAGTCTGGAATGGTGAGACCCAGACATGTGACGTTCATTCATGTTCTCTTCTCTTTCTCCCTTGCATCTCCGAGCATGGATGCACGTCTCATCACAGGGAGTCTGGAATGGTGAGACCCAGACATGTGAGGTTCATTCATGTTCTCTTCAAGAAAGAATTAACTTGCGATTTCAGTCCTTCCACGAGGATGCTAGCAGCTGGAAGGTTTATAAATTTCGGCAAAAAAGAATTAACTAGTAACTAGCGATTTTACTCCTTCCATGGGGCTGTTCCAATGCAATAACCATTGCAGACACTACAAGAAAGCCTGGGATAAAATCGCGAGTTCACTCCTCAAACCAGAAGGTTGCCCTGGTGGAGCATAAACTTTGAAGTTTAGAATTTTGCAACTCCTGTTTTCACTCCCTTCCTTGTATGATATTGATTGATATTGATTGATATTGATTGATATTGATTGATACTGTATTGGTTGATATTGGTTGATATTGATTGATATTGATTGATACTGTATTGGTTGATATTGGTTGATATTGATTGATATTGATTGATAGTGGTTGATATTGGTTGATATTGATTGATATTGATTGATATTGTTTGATATTGGTTGATATTGGTTGATATTGATTGATATTGATCGATGTTGTTTGATATTGGTTGATATTGGTTGATATTGATTATATTGATTGATATTGATTGATATTGTATGATAGTGTATTTTGTAGGATATTGTACGATATTGTAGGTATCTGTCGGGGAGGGTGGTATTGGCTATTGCTGTGTCTGTTCCCGACCTTTGGCCCCACTGGCATACATTGTGTTGGACATGCTGAAGCAAAGGATGGGGTGGTCTCTTAGGAACTTCAAAGTGGTAGCAACACTTGTTAATTAGGACACTATGCTTCCTGCTGTGTGTCCACATACATATCAATGTGCGTGTGAGTGTTTTCATAGATGCTATTCCGTTCATGTTGCACTTGATGCAATGTTGTTCAGCTTCATTGGTTGTCATGTGTTGTCTTGCTTGAACCTCTGCAGAAGATTTGGAAATTCCGATACAACATTTTCCCCGTCTCGATGTCACCCACTTCATTTTGCTAGTGGGCCGCACAAAGGATGATACTCACCACATGTTCATCTGGCACGAGGAAGTAGGAAACTAGGTGATCCGAGTCCTCAACATCCTCAATTGAGTAGATACTACTAGTAAAAAGAATCCCCTGCTCAGAGTACATAGTTCTGACCCACAGTCGCATTCGGAGGGAAGGCCTAGCTACCCTGTGACCTAGCATTCATTGCTTCTCCAAACTTCGGCGCTGAGTTTTTAGTTGGACATAATTGGACAAAAACATCCCGTCGCCCCACGTTTCACATGCATCTTATTCATTTCTTTTGCTTTTTGGTGCAATCTACAATTCCAAAACCACTTCGTATGGCTGACATGGCATTCATTCTTAGCCCATGCCGGCTTAAAAAATGGGTGTGATTTCCCACAGCATAATCTTTTAATTTGTGCTTGGCTCATTTCAATTCAAAAATCATATCAATTGACCATAGCATGCCATAGCCTTTTGTGGCATGACATGTGGAGTCTTTTTGGCCCAGCAAAAA